AACTATGCTGAGTGAACCTTAGTTATAGTTTGGGGGAGTGAGAGTACAATCTGGTGTGATCATTAGAGAAACAAGACCACCATGCTGAAATCATTGTGTTTACAATGCTATAAATAACCACTAACAGATTCTGAATTGTTTCACCTACCCAATGTTATTCAATAGGTTTAGGTCAACCCATAATTTGGTTTTCAAACTTGTACTTCTTGATGGTGCTGCATTTTGTGATCTTCTCCCTGTATCACTAACATCAAAAAGTCACCTACTTAATAAATTGACCATCGTAAGATTTGGACCCAGGTTTTGTAGTTTGGAATACTAAAATTCTAACTATTTGGTCACATACATTAAAACCAATAAATTACCTACTTTCCTATAAAAGGCTCAAAAGGAAAAAAATATTGAATAAATCTTCACCCTCTTTAAAAGGAGTAAAAGAGTAATAAAACTCAAAGCAGTATCTGTTTATACAGGCTGCGGTAGAAATACCTTGCACATAATGGTTAAGATATAAGCTACAATGAAGATACCGTTGCCACTAATGTCTTACCATTATGTGCAAGGTATTTCTGCAACATTCTGTTGTGGTCACATAAATACGAACAGATGCCATTGATGACTTTATGATTACCAGGGCTAGATTATATTTTAGGCTAGTATAGGCTGTAACCTAGGGCCCCTCAAGTTTTTATAAAGCAATCATTTTAATTTTCTAGGTTATAATTTCTAAATAATTTCATAAACTGAAATGATATCAATATGACACTCATATTTAACTTTGCAGGAAGCAAAGCAAGGAAAAGAATTAGTTTGTATTATTTTATTTCAAATAAATAACGTTTGATTTTAGTTCATAACATCTAAATCTTAAAAATTTTTATAAAGCAATGATTTTAATTCTCTAGATGTTATAATGCTTGAATTAAATAACCCCATAAACTGAAATTATATCAATATGACAAATTGTAACAGCGAATTAGGTCAACCTGATAAGAGTCGGTTGCATGTGGTGCTGTAAGCACCAAGAGTTGTGTCCCCTTTCACAATGGGCTGTTGAAAGAAGACCTACTTACAGTAGATGGCGCTGACTATTTGCATATGAACGATACTGGGCAGGTATTAGCCAATAGTCAGCATGGGTCTGGAACTGGGAGAGCTATATAACACCAGTTTTTTCTCATTCAAAGAGGAGTGCTCTCAACATGCAGAAAACCAGACAAGAGGAACACACAAACTCATATTCATTTTGTTAAAGCTGGTTATAATATTTTTTTTTTTTTTACTACAGTTGTGTTGAAATATGTGCTAATTTGGTTTGCAACAGTGATATTTCTTAAAGAAAAAAGATAGCTATTGAGGTTTATTTGAATAATTTGCAATAAGTTTACTTACTTCAAGCTATATAAATGCTGCTAAAAAATATATTATGAGTAAAAAAAAAAAAAAAAAAATATTACAGGATCCAGCAAGTTAGAGGGTGGTAATTTAATTAGCCTAGGGATCCCAAAAAGTCATAATCCGACCCAGACTATTACACTGATCCTCAGAAAACCTGTCACACCCTGAAAGCACACAAATGCTCTGATCTATATGTCAAATACTGTCAATTATTGATAACTAAATTTGAATAATGACTTCTTTTTTTTTTCAAGAAATTCCTTGCTGTTTTATAGCTATTTTCCAATGGATGTGGCACAAAGCCGAAAGTAAAGGGCACCCAGTGAGGATCGAACTCACTACTCATTCGTAATTGTTTTTAGCGAAACAAGCTTGCTCTAAACTACACCACCTCGAGGTGTGCTTGCTGCTTTATGTCAACAAATCCCTTTTTGTTGACAATTTTGATGATAAAATCAGGTAATGCCTAGAGATTTGAATAAAAAAAAAAGCACTAAAATAAAAGTAAAATGAATTTTTGAAGAAAAAAATAAAAGAGATATATAAACGAAGACAGCGAGAATTTGTTATGAGTGAATTATAGCCAATGTTTGAAAAATGAATAAATAGAAATAGCGATTTAAATCCTTTAGTAAATAAAATATATAAATTAAAAATAAATAACCATTTCATTTTCTACCTGCAATTTAATTTGAATTAAATCATCCACCACAATTTCTGGAGTAGAGTACAGATAAAAAAAGGAAAGAGAAAAAAAAAAACAATCCTGAAAAGACCCATATTAACTACATTGGAAAAAAGAGAGAGAGAATGAAACTAAAAAGTTATTTATAACCTAGTTTTCTTATTAAGGACTAAGAGAAGAAGACCATATTTTGTCCAACGGCAGCAGGTTTGTTTTTTTTTTTTTTTTTTTAACCAAAAACGAGAGACAGGTACTTCTGCGGCTTCGAAATCAGTAACAAGGTGCGTGTGTGACCTCGTCTTTTTTCACCCTCTCTCTCAAGGACGACTGACCTCCGTGATAGGCACACGGGGAATGCTTTGGTGTAACCGAAAACTCAAGCGATCATGACTTTTAAATGAGAAACCCTTAGAAAATATCAAGAGATCGGTGCCAATTGTCTTCTTGCCCCCAAATTCGGACGAAACCGGAAAAAGATTTCAAGATAGACTGGAGGAAACATGTACTTCCGCTAATGTAATTTTTATACAAAGTTACATTCGAATTAGTAGAAAAATGCATTAATGACTTTATTTACATTTAAATTTATATAATTATATGCATTTTTAATTTTTATTGAGTTATGATTTATCGACAGAATGCTGAAAGCACACCGGGCGACCGGCGTAAAGAATTTCTTCGCCGTCAAAGACCAAGAAGACAGAAGACCGAAGATATCGCTTGTTTGAAACCGAAATCATTAAAATCAAATATCATCAAAAATGTTAAATACAAGATAAAAATTAGAACAAATCGGTGGCTGTAACAGTGTAACTGATTACAGTAAGTTTACACTTGGGGAAAATATTTGTACCGTAGTTTGTTTGTTTTTGTTGGGGGGGGGGCAGAAAGTTCACAATTACGAAGTCAGCTAAAAAAAAAAAAAAAGTTGTTAAAATAAAAATATTTTTTTAATAATTTTTAGGAATATTTTAAAAGATGCTATCAAAATGAAAAAAATATATACATATTTTTAATTTTAAAAATAATTTTTTTTTTTTTTTTTTTTACTTACAAATTACATACCTTTTTTTTTCATTTCGTTTTTAATTTTATTTAATTAAAACTTATGCTAAAAGAAATTTTATTTTTTTATTAATTAATCAAACATTTATCTTTTTTTTTTAATTTTAAACTGTTTTACTTTTTAAAATAGTAATTGCGCCGATTTTAAAAGTAAAAGCAATATTTTAAAAATCCATCATTTTGGTTTTTAAATGCAACTTGGTGACTTGGTGAGGAATGAAAATTAAAAAAAAAAATAACACACCTTTATTTAAAAACTAAAGAAAGAATGTCAAGAAAGTTACATCGCTGTTATGTTGTTAAATCGAAACAAAGAAAAAAAAAAGCAAGCACCGCAACAATTAATTATAATTTGATAAATAAATTAAAAACGTGTGTAGTGTACAACAGATAAAAAATGCGAAAATTATTATTTTTTTAAAATAAATGAATTCGATTGAAAGAAAATAAAAACAAGGAAAACAAGTTTGTTTTATTTTTTTAACTATGTCTTCAGTTTTCATATTATCAATAAAAATTAATTTAATACTAAATCCATTTTTTTGGCACACCCTTATTACTTCCACCAAATAGAGAAAAAAAAACGTAAGAATGCTGGAAAAAAAAAACTCAAATTTTTTTTGTCTATCAAATTCAACATAACTGTTTAAAAAAAATAATAAAAAGAAAGAAAGGTTGTTGTCAAAATACTTTTTGTGCTTGTATTAAAATAGGTTAAAGCAAAAAAAACAAATTAGATACATTAATAAAAAAAAAAAAAAAAGATTGTTGTCCAAATATATAATTGATAATAATTTAGTTGTATATTTGGACAACAACCCTAAAACTAAAAGTTATGGCGAAATGAGACAAAGTAGGAAACATTTTTTAGTTTTTAATGACAACGCATTTCGCCTTCGTGTGTCAGGTAGGCGTGTTCAAGTTAGAATTATTATTTTAAAAATAACTTGCAAGTCTCATTTTCTCTATCTATAATTTATTTTATACAGATGATTTTTTTTTTTATGCAGCCAGTTTATAACGGACTGATGTTTGGAACATCTACTAAAAGAAAAGGAAGGAAGTATGCATTTTTTTAAATTATTTCCTGATTTTTTTTTTTTTTTTTCACAAATATCTGCAAATTTGTCTTTCCAAAACCCGGAAACTAACGCTATTTTGAATAATAATTAAGATTCAAAGCGAAAGAAAAAAGTTGTTTCTTTTTTTTGGGGGGGGTAAACAACCTTTTTTTTATTATTTTAGAAAATGAAAGTTAAAGCAAATTCAAAGTTTGTTTTTTTTTAAAAAAATCATGTCTCTACACGACTCCAGGAAGAAGAATTCAAATTAGAAAGGATTTAAAACTTCGACGTTTCTAATTTCTAAGGAAAGTGCATTTTTTAATAGATTTATTTTTTAAAATAGATGATGTATCATCAAGAAAGAAGTAAAAAGTGTAATTTTCAATAGATTAAAAAAATACAAAAATAAAAGGAAATATATGTTACTTAAAACTAAAACCAAGAAAAGCAGTTAACCCAAAAATTAGCGCTAGTAATTATTAGACACTCAAAAATACAAAAAAAAAAAATCATTCAGATTATGACAACTCACAATGGAGAATGAATCGAAAAATCACCAAAAATTCATATGACCGGACCTTAAAGGAGATTCTTTTTTAGCCGTGATATAATCGTTAGCACAACTAATGTGCTTATCTTACTTATTATTTAAACTAGAAAGGTCAAGAAGAAAAAGAAAGACAAGATCAGAAATTTTACAAAAATCAACAAGGGGGGATGGAATCACGCCCTGTTCTGCCTACACTTGTTTTACCCCCCCCCCAAAAGTATTAAATAGATTCACTCACTTGCCCAAGGCGTTAGTTTCTCCTCAGATCCCATGACTTTCTTTTTTTTCTTAATGCCTTTTTTTTAATAAGTTTTATTCCGTTTACAGGAGATTAACTTATTTTTATTTTCCTTTTCAGCAAAAAGCCTCCCAGCTATCCATGTGTGCTTACGAGAGACTGATCGTAAAGGGAACGTAAAACTATTAGCGCCACCATGTGGTTAGAAGAAAAAAAAAAAAACAGACTACATCAGGGGCAGTTAACTCTCATCTATAAATCGACTATTTGATACATTACAAAAATGTCAGCTTAGGAAGGTAGTTTGTCAAGATCGATTCTTACGAACTTTTGATTTGGTAAACATAAGCTGAGATAGATGCCACAAGTTAAGCTTAAGTTTCACTCGAAATTAGTAGCTTAAAAAAATAAACTCTTTCAGTTTTATTGTTTTGTTTTCCAGCCTACATAAGGTATGTATCATGTTCCAAAAGGGAAAATTAAACTAAAGAAATCTCTACTAAAAAACAAAGGTGATAAAAGAGCAATAAATTTATGTCAATGTCTTTCTGTTGTCTTCGTCCCTCCTCTTTCCTTTCAACTGCTTTTTCCCTTCACCATTTCTCCTCTCACTTTTATTAAGAGTAAATGCATCAACTTCATGTGTTGAAAACAAGTCTATCGCAGAGTGCCCAAACACCACTCCCACCTTTTCTTAAACAACCCCGGATATGCCTGCCAGTAGAGAAAGGTCACGACCCTTGTGTGCTAAAAATAGCAACGACATGCTTTCAAACTGACAGAAACACACAAAACTTAATTTTCGCCACTAAACAAAAATAAAAGACCTTTAATTTCGAACCAAAATTAATTTAAATACAGTCAACAAACACCGAACACACTTTTGACTGTAATTAATACGGCCCGAAATTAATTATATTCATTTCCTTGTTTAGCGTCACCACTTCTCTTGTCACCACATGTTATGACCAATGTTTGACCAGTGACCCTACGCTTGGGTTTTCCCACGAAAAATGACCTTGTGTCACGTCTTGACCCCGTGGGAGTCAAGTAATCCCACGAAAAACAATCTTGTGTCACATCTTGACCTCGTGGGAGTCAAGTAAATACCGCCGCCCAGGGAGCAGGAAGCCTTCCTGATTCGCGACTTTGACGCGCCCAGTCAAGTCGGCCAAGCCCAGCAGCAGTTGTTCAAACAGTCCTTTTCAAGGCTAACTTCCGAAAGTCATTCGATCACCACTCTTCAAGGCTCCACTCACTCCACTCTTTGCTACTGCCTTCCCTCTGAGACGCCAGCTCACTCCTCCAGCACTCCTGCAGTCTCCAGCTCACCCCAACAGCTTCCAGCGGCCTCCAGCTCAGCCCTGCGGTGCTCTATTGACGTCCCGCTACCTATTCCAGCACCCGCTGATGATCTAATCTAGTGCCCATTGACGTCCAGTGCCCGTTAACGTCCGGACACCATTCCCGAACAAACGACCTCTGTCGTCTTACCATCCACCGTTCGCAAATAAAGACACGATTTCCATCGTCTACAACGGACCATCTGCGTTTGTCATCCTTCTTTGCTATTGCCATCTCCTTGCCTTTGTGTCCCCTATTTTAGTTGTACAGTCGATTGGCACTCACACCTCTCGGCCCGCTGCAACAAGTCCATTACCTCGACTTACGTTACTTTGAGTTAAGTCATTTTCAAAGATATGTCAGTTTTTCTTAAATATTATATGGAAAAATAAAACTCGCCTTAGGTCGTTTTATTCAAGTTTACATCGGCCATTAAAAACATTAGAAATGTCAAAACACTAAAAATAAATACATATAAAATTCAAATAAATTTAAAAATAATATTATGTATACTATATATATATATATATCGTCAAAACAATATAATAAAGTATGTTCAGCAGGTGTTCATATGGCAAATTCCTGTTTTTCCCATTCCATTTTGAATTCAGACTGGTTTACGTCTGTGCTCTGCTGTTGTTGACGTTATTTCAATTACATTTCAATTGTGATTTACAATACATTTTTGTCAATGTCTCCAAAGAAAAGTCCCAGTGCAAGTGCTAATGCTAAGCATAAAGCTATATCCCTGGAAGATAAAGTGGAAATTAATTATTTTATTCAGAATAATGTACATACATATCATAAATACTGTAATAGACAATAGTGTTCTTATTTGTGGTTTATAGTGTGGTTATTTCGACCTAAGTTGTGATCCCTGGAACCAATGACATAGGGTGAGGCATACCTGTATGCATCCGTTTATCTCATGAGGTAAAGGTAGAGCCTTGTTTGGTCAAAATTCAGTCCTTTGGTGGTGACACCGGTGGAGTGACCTCTACATGGTGCATACCTAGCCGGTGTTATATGGAGGGCCATGCGCTGCCCAAACTATATGCCCCTGCCTTCTTGGCTGTACCTTCAAAATCTAATGGAATACAGAGACATTTGAGGCTACAGTGGCTGCATGATTTACCAGAAAATTGTCAGCATTGACAGCCAACCACCTTCAGGGTTTCACTCTGGTTATACTTCCATAGCCTTTTTCTGTGTTTCAATATGACCGCAAGGCAGTGGATATCTAAAGTCAGTGTTTTCCTTCTCCGGGCCTGTCAAGCTCCATCCATCCATCCAAAGCAGCTTTGTGTAATGGACTCTGGTCGTGTTTTCAATGCATGATGGCCAAAAATAACTTTTTACTTTAATCTGTGGTAGTAGGCAAACTTTAATAAATATAATAAAATATTTCTTAAATCCCTGAAAAGTATTTCCTACTTATTATCTCCTTAACACCTCATTAACATTAACACGGATGTTCATAAGGACAGATCAATCAGCTAACTTTGCTTCTGAAACCAGATACTTGGATAAGCAAAACAAAAGATCAAAGCCCATCCATCAAAGTGAAGAACAATCCCACTGCACTCACCACATTCACCTGTAGTAAATGTGAAATAATAATAACTCCCTTCACCCACTCCCTTCAAATTATTAGGAAGAAGATGAAAAGGAATTCATGAGCCTATGTGAAATTGTTTTGGGACCAATGAAAACCTTACCTTCATGAAAATTAGTCAATCAAATGAAAAGAAGAAAAGAAAGTAGCAAGACCACACAAAATTCTTCTTGATATAAAATGAGAAGAAAATTTAAATTAATCAGAGAAGAGTGTCTGAAGTCATGTAAAATGTTACATTTCAATTCCTCGCAACCGGCGTTAAAGTACTCATCAGTGTAAAATTATTGACCAGTTTTAATATTGGCTTCTAACCAGCACAGAGCCCTTCAAAGAATTATTTTCTCTCAACAATCAAAGAAAGCTATCTCTCTTCATTTACTTTTTAAACTATACAAAGCATATATCCATTCGGTAAACAGACTGTCTTACCTTTGTTTTAAACATTTTTTAATATTATTTTGTGTCAGTTCATTTAGCCGGTTGTATGAACATTACCACTTCATGACAATCCATTAAAACTACAGACTTTAAGAATTCTGATTTATTATACTAATACTGATTCAAGCATGTAAATTTGTGAATAAATTCCTTCTTGTTTTGTTAAAAACTATCTGTTTGTTTCCTCATCATTATCATCCTTCATCTTCATTAATCATTTTGGTGTTGGTAAATCAACTGTTCATTTAAACCCCTAAGTCCCACACCACTATACCCTAAGCACTTAAAAATCCAGGAAAAGGGAGCTTCAAGTTCAGTTCTCTACCTAGAAAGCAGGGTAGGCTTAGGGTTAGGGTTCATTCCTCTAACCACCAAAGAACTAATCAGGATGACTGTATAAAATTTAAAAAGTTGCGAGTTTGTGTGTATAAACAAAGAAGAAGCATATAAAAACTTGGGTTTCTACTAAGGAACATTTATTCATTTTTTATGGTGACTGTAGTGAAAGAAAGGTCTCTTGATTATGTCCAATTTCTTTTTTGGTTCAGATGTGATGTGATGTTTTTTAGACTTTGATGTAGACATTCTTCCCCCAACCAAGTGATGACTGACTTATTAATATTTTCAATTCCATTTTGCCTATGTCTGGAAATGAAGAGGGCTTTATGCTCTTCATTACTCTGTGACTTTTTTGAACATAAGTATGTGATCTTATCTCTGTCTTGGGGTGTGCCCCTGGTTCTTTTTATTGGGTATCTAGGTCTGAACTCATATTCTTCTGATCTTCCTACACCATGTTGGATTCATGTGAACTATCCTCCATATTTTTTGTTATAGCAGCATCAATAATGACATTTATAATAGGAATTGTAATCACTTCTGGTTCCACTTGGGAATGCTGGGATCAAGACAGATCCAGTGAGGAGTTTGAATAAATAAGTTGTTAAGTTTACTATATCTCATGTTGTCTTTGTGTTGCTTCGACTTTTCAGCAGCCAGTCTCATATAATTGATCTTTCCACCCTAAACCCAGGGACATTTTTTTTACTACTATATTTGCTTTTTCCATCTGAAGCACTAGTGTTTTCTGCCCTCTCAGGTTCCTCCTCCTCCTCTTCCATATCAACTTCTTCGTAGTCATTTCTAGGTCTTCTCTGATCACAATGAGCCAATAAATTCTGTCTATATTTTTCCATATCGCTGAGATGAGGTATTATGATTACTTGCATTATTTACATTTACAGATAGAAATTTATTTACATTATTCGGACTGTTATCCTCATCTTCATTGCCATATTCACAACGTTTCGGCCTCTATATCTCTGAGATGAGGTATTATGATTACTTGCATTATTTACATTATTTGAACTGTTATCCTCACCTTCATTGCCATATTCACAACGTTTCAGCCTCTATATCTCTGAGATGAAGTATTATGATTACTTGCATTATATACATTATTCAGACTGTTATCCTCATCTTCATTGCAATATCCACAACATTTCATGTGTTGTGTATGCTCCAGTCTTCTTCAAGTTATTGGAATTTTGAACCAAACCCTTTATTTCAACCACTGGGGTAGAGTGTTCTAGTTCCATGTGCCATGCCTCAAGGACACATGGCCAAGTGGATAA